GATGGAACCAGGGGTAGTAATGATAGCGTCAAGAGAATAAATTGAGTTTCTGCATATTTTTTTTTTTAATTTTTTTTTCTTTTCCAACGTTTATTTATTTTTGGGACAGAGAGAGACAGAGCATGAACGGGCGAGGGGCAGAGAGAGAGGGAGACACAGAATCGGAAACAGGCTCCAGGCTCTGAGCCATCAGCCCAGAGCCCGACGCGGGGCTCGAACTCCCGGACCGCGAGATCGTGACCTGGCTGAAGTCGGGCGCTTAACCGACTGCGCCACCCAGGCGCCCCGAGTTTCTGCGTATTTTTGCCCTAATGACAATTTATGGTTTATTTGTATCATTATTGATTCAAGGAGGAAAAGAAGTGATTTTTCCTAACTCCAAGAGAATCTGAACAGTTCTTATACTGGTTGAGTTCATTATAACGAGATCAATAAAGTCAGTGTTAGTGGATTAAATATTTTAAAACTCAATTTCCCATAAGCAGCATACAGTGAATAAATAGAACTTTCTGTAACAAGCATGTAACCAAGCAAGATAGTCTCAAGGTTAAAGGTTACATAGCAACTAACCATTGTGCTTGAGGTAGCCTCGTGAGGGAGGAGAGGACGTGGTGAACAGGGCACTCGATGTAGGAACATGTAGAGGAGGAACAAGTCTGACAAGAAAGGACCTTCACCTCACCTCGCGGCTGGGAACAAGATAGTCTCTGATAAATATTTCCAGCCTTTATCTGTGTCTCTTCAACAAAATGCAAAGACTAGCCCAGGGCACTGTATTCTCATAGCCTCAAGACAGAAACTCCAAATCATTCCTCTCTCAAGGTTCCTGCTGTTAAGAACTTGTAGCCCTTGGTTTTAGGTTTTAATTTAACCAAGGATGAATTCAGTAATTTGGGGGTTAACTTTTTCCAACAATCATAGCTCCCTTTTATTGTTTGCTGTGTCTGCCGCGCCCTCCAGAGCACTCTACGCATTATGGATGCATGTCTCTCGCGTGTGGTCCCCAGACAGCCTGCCATTCACAGACTCAGGCAGGTCCCTCTCCTGGGGTGGGGCCTGGGTCTGGGTGACTCTCAGCCCCTCTGCTGCACCACCTCCTGCACCGAGCACGGTGCCGGGCACGGACAGCTGGGGTCCCCGACTTCTGAGCCACAGCCTTGTGCTAGACCTCCTTCCCCGGTAGAATCTCCCCCTTTGTGTTTCCCATGAGCTATCTGGAAGCTTATCAGAAATTCTAAAATCTTTTAGTTTTGGACCCTTTTAGCAGATACAGCAAAGGCCTAGTTCTCATAAACAAAAAGTAGGAGAAAAGATAGAAAGCATCGCTTGTGTTGTAACGGGAACATCGGAGTACTTACGAGACTCGAAGGCTCTTCCCAGTCTCTTTGGAAGGTTGAAGAATAACATGCAGAAATACGTGCATTTTTTTTTTTTTTTTAGCAGGAAAAGCTCAGTCCTCATCTTTTAGCAACTCAGCTTTTGCTTTTCCTCCCACCTTTTCCTCATTGTTGGCAAGACTGTATCACTGCACTTTTTGAAAAAACATGCCTAATTCACTGCTGTTTCTGAAATAAGCATATGGTTATATGCCATGGTCCAAGAAACAGGGAAAATTTTTCTCCAGGCAGACCGTTTATTTTTCCTTTTGGGCTTAAGGACTAGCAGTGACTCTGAATGAGCAGGAGGGCCACAGCAGGTACTGTTGCCTGTGCCAGGAGGAGATTTCTGGCCGGGGCCTTTGCCGCAGCGTGGGGGCCACAGTGGCATCTATGTGCTCCTTTTCCATTGAGGGGACATGATGGTGGTCCCTTTCTTCATCCCCCATATGGGTCCCCTGGCTACCTGGCTGGGGCACGTGCCCTGAGGCCTGAGCCGCAGTTCCAAGGCCTGTCCCAGCAGGTCTCTGTAAGTGCCATTCCGAGTCCCGGCCGTGGGGAGACCTCCATCCTCCCTAGGAGGGGGCATCTCTAATCGGGCATAGCATGGGTGGTCTCTGACCACCAACTATAGCTTGATGGGTTTCAGGAAAGAAGAGGAAGCTCAAGGAATATCCGGTTTCCACTCAGGTTAATTCCCCAGGATGTGAGTTTTGGCTTGAGACAGTTGCTTGTCTGTTGACCTAACGAGACACGTAGGACCCAGACTCCTGTAAGTCTGCTCCCCTCTGATGCCTGGTTAGAAGGATTCTTTATTAAGAAAAAGCCACACACACACAACATCATGACAACGATATTGGTGTAACTTAAAAAATGATCTTACTACCCCTAGAACAAACCACTTCAAGTCGGTGAATCTCTTCCCAGCCTCTGCCCGTATCAATCCCTACTTAATACTTTTGTGATCCAAGAACAGGTATCAGGCATTGTCTGTCTTGCCAAAGAGCACGGTTTGTGATTCCAGTTTTGAATGGCTTTTCGACGTTCCACCAGGCAGAGACCCACATTTGCCTTAACTGCCCCCTTGGGCTGGACCGCTAGGCTATTATTTATAGGCCCTTCACCGTTACGGATGACAGGACGCACAATGGCCCCTCTTCGCATCATAGTGACACAGGATGACCGTGAAAGACTTTGTGCACTGCCCGTTTGAGTGGAACAGTTAAGGGGCTTGTTGAACTTCAAGAAGTATAGAGGCTCCATTTACAAAACCTCAGGTGTTTCCAAAGTTTTCTCTGATGACAAGTGACTGCAAACTGTAGGCCCCTGGAAGATACTGGAAAAAAATCAACATAACCCTTCATCAAGGGAAAGGTGACACTTTAATGAAGAGCTTTCCCAAAAGTTTGTACTGTGGAAAGAACATTTTGAAAAGAGATGTTTTTGTTTCCACCATCTTGTAATTTGTTAACCAAAAACTATGTGAATGTGTCACCTATTAAAAACACTAATATCTGCACCCTGAACTTGGGAGCAGTTTTTCTAACCTGCTTCAAAATCCTTGAGATGACAATGTCAATGGATTTTGAATTGGGCTATTAAAAATATGAGAATGCAGTAATACCCTGTGATGAGTTGCAGGAGCGTTTTTCTGACCTGAGGGGAACTGGGGCCTCACTCATAACATGTTCACAAAATCCTTTGTATCAGGGATGGACAGAAGCGGACGGTGTCTCCTTTGTCGCCAGTGGTAAGCATCTTCCAGCCGGGTCTGTGCATCTCTGGGAAGAGTCTTTGTTAGCTCTGATGACCTCAGAGAATGGACTGGAGCCCTAACTGGGCTACTTTCAAATCATTGAGCCACAGACAGTTTTCTTACCTTTGAAAAAAAATGGAAGCAGTGTCAATTTGGTAGCTCTCACTAAAAACTCGTTTGATTTAATGATTTCACAGAGGTTTGTTGACACTCTTAGAAAATGGCACATTAAAATATATTTTATTATTTTTTAAAATACAATTTATTGTCATATTGGTTTCCATACAACACCCAGTGCTCATATTTTAAAATATTGGTTATTGTGTCCTTGTCTCTCCTTTAAAATAGTTTATTTTTGGTATCTTAATGCGTACAATTTATTCGCACGGTAGCGCGGTATGTAACTTACAAGCAAACACGCGTCCCCATGATACGTGCTGAAGGGCTGTCCCTTGTTGGGTGTTGCTGTCAGACGAGTGCAGAGACCATGGATCGAGGCAAATTGGGTTTAGAAAGGCTCCTGCTGTAACTCAAGACTACCAGTCGATGAACTTTCATTTCCTTACCTGGTGAGCTGGTAGAATGCTGTGTGTGGGGGTCCTGAACACAAAGCAGGGCAGCCTTCTGGAAGTGCTTTCTGAAATGGATGAGCAAACATGGCCTCTGGGTTCCCGTGAGAGGAAATGGTGCTGGAGATCTTGGCATCACGTTGGTCTCCACAGCCACCAGCTTCATGTGTCCCTAACTGCCCATGGCCTCAGTCCAGTGGAGGAGTTTCTGTGGGCCAGGGGCAGTCAAGGTTGTCCCTCCTGGGCAGTGGGAGCCATTGCTGACATCTCTGAGGGAAACCACCTTCACGCTCTTGGTGGGTGTTGCATAGCAGGTGCCATGCCCGTGAGATGGCCTGGCCCCTGGGAACGTGTCCCGTGGTTCCCAAGGCTGGTCTGGTTTCTGGCTGCATTTTCAGTGGGGTTGAATGGAGCACACGAGAACTACAGCCAGTGCCCTGGGGCATAATGTGGCACAACATAGAGGAACGAGTGCTGGCTTTTGGAACCCAACAGACCTGGGCTCAGGGTCGGAGATCTGCTCCCCACACGCCCTGAGTTCAGCCTGTTTATGTCGCTGACGTCTGAAAGCTCACAGTGGCGAAACCGACATTTTCCCCACCACGTGTGTGTGTACACACAAATGTTTTCACAGTGCACATGAGCGCTCGACAGCGGTTTCATGACAGATATGCAGAGGACAAGGACCGTCTTGAGTCCTGCAGAATCAGTGAGACCCCAGTGGGCCACACTGCCTGTCCACGCTGGCGCCTGGGGCCCTGTGGGGTCATGCTGTCACTTGTTGCCCAGAGCATCATGCTACCATTACCAGCCACTCCCTGTAGCAAATCATCCGTGGTCATGAATGTAAGGTCATGGTTGAAAGATGGCTGATCCCACAAAGATCACTTTGGAACATCTTGCTTTTTCTTTTTTAGACTCCTGGGTAAATACTCTCTATTAACTGTGCAGCTTTGACAATGTTACTTAAGCTCCCTGAGCCTTGGCTTTTCTTCAGTCGTAGAGCAGGTTTTGAGCGGTTGTGTGGTTTAAATGAGTTGATAGGCAGTGTCGATGGAACACAGGAAAGGTGATGTTCATGGGTCCGGCCGTTGGGTCGGCCCTGGGGGGCAGTTCGGCCAGTCAGGGACGGGGCTGGTCAGAGAGTGAGATTCAAGTGCCATGACGTCTGTTGTGCTTCCAGAAAGTCTCGTGGGCCCTTGGGCCCAGAGATCTATGTCAGATGGCATCTTAGTTTTAAGATATTTATCTTGTGGTCCGAGTATTTTTTAATGCTCTCTTCTCTTCTTTGTGTTGTAGGAACCCAGCTCTTCAGCGGTCAGAGTGACTTTAGAATCACTACTTTGAAATTTCACCCGAAAGACCACAGCCTTTTTGTGTGTGGAGGCTTCAACCCCGAAGTCAAAGCTTGGGATATAAGGACCGGCAAGGTGATGCCCGTCTTCCTCCCGTGGCCTCTCCACAGGAGAGCTTGCCACGGCGGTGTGACTGACCGGGGGCGGGCCAGCATCTAGGTGCAGGACCCTGGAGACGGGGTAATTACCACCTGACATTTCATCGGTGCTCAGCGTGATGTGTATGTGTTCTGAAAGAACGTTCTTGGGTTGTTAGAGTATTGAAACATCAGAGGTACGGCTCTGAAAACATTTATTGAGTACCTACTGTGTGCAGATGTTTCCAGATGATATAAAAGGAATTAGCCTTTGGGTTACTCAAGGGAATGATGTGCGGTTGCAGATAAGTGGTGCGGAGCACTACTGTATGTATGTCTGTGTGTGTGTGTATGTGTGCACGTGTGTGTGTGTGTGTGTGTGTGAGGGGGAGAGAGAGAGATGGGTGGGGGAGTAAGGGAGGCACAAGCAACCATTCAGAGGGAGAGGGCTTTCTGCTTGAGGTGAGGAAGGCTTCTTGGAGATCACGTGCCTCCTGGGGCTAAATGGCTGGTGGCGATCAGTCCCACAGAGGAGTTTCCACCCCGCTGCTCACCAAGCTGCTGCTTCCGTTGTCCTCACGCACTTAATAAGTGGCAGCTCCACCCTTCCAGGGATGCGGGTCGGAACTGTCAGAACCGTGCCTGTCTCTGCTCGTCCTGTCTCCCCCACGTCCAAGTCACGAGCATATCCTGTGGTGACTGGCTTGAGCTGCCGTTGACTCTTACTGGGATCATTGCAGTAGTTTCCTATGTGGTAGCTCTTTCCCCACTCCTTATAGTTTGTTCTCAACATGGCAGCCAGAGTGTCTGTCACAGTGTAAGTCTGATGTGCCTCTCCCCTGGTCAGAACACTCCAGGCTCTGATCTCACTCATGGTAAAGGCCAGTGTCCCCACAGTGGCCTTCAATACCTACATGAGCTTCCCTTCCCCCTTCTCATCACCTCCAGCCCCACTGGCCTCCTTGCCTTTCCTAGAACACACTAGCACGTTCCTGCCTCAGGGCCTTTGCACCTGCTGCTCCTTCCACCTGGAATGCTCTTCTCCCAGTTTTCTCTGTAGAGGCTCCCTCTCTCTGCTTGATTCTGTTCAAATGCCACCTCTCCTGTGAGGCCTTCTCTGATCACCGTGATGGTCACCCTCTGGCATTCACTCGTCCCCTTTGCCCCCTCACTGTTCTCCCTACTATGTATCATCACCCGGTGTACTGTGGATTTTACATGTTTATCTGCTTGCCTGTCTGCCTTCACTTGAACGTAAGTTTCTCCAGGGAGGGATTTTTTTTTTCTTTAAAAAAACTTTTTTTTAATGTTTATTTTTGAGAGAGAGAAAGAGGCAGAGAGAGGGAGACACAGAATCTGAAGCAGGCTCCAGACTCTGAGCTGTCAGCACAGAGCCTGATGCAGGGCTCAAACTCACGGACCGCAAGACCATGACCCGAGCCAAAGTCAGACACCCAACTGACTGAGCCACCCAGGCGCCCCTCCAGGGTAGGGACTTTCTGTCTACTTTGTTTGCTGTTGACTTGTAGCCCTTAGAACAGTGCCTGGCACGTAGCAGACACTCAGCAAGCCTCGGATGACCAAGTGAAGGAATGAGGGAGGAAGGCAGTCATGCAGAATGTGTATGTATAGAAGGTAGAAGTGTGAAACGTGTGCAGGGACCAGGGACTGGCTTGACCTGGTGGGGCATGGGCTCCAGGCAACGGTACTGGCCCCAGGCAAAGAGGCTCTCAATGCTGTGAGTCCTGGTTTGGGTTAGCAGTGAGAAGCCAGGCCTGAGAATGGGTTTGTGGGAGAGTAGTGAGGAAGAGCCATGGCCCGATTGCCTCTGGGGGTGCGCCGTGATTTTAGGCTGACTTGTTTTCAAGGTCTGAGAAGCACTACTCTGGTCTGAAGGAGGCACACGGCCACTTGAGTCCTACAGGGTAGTTTATAATAAAACCCATGTTAAACTTAACTTTGAAAGGAGAAGGTATGGAATGTCAGTTTGCCCTCCTGCATTTAGGATTCAGGGGTTCAGTGGTCCCACCCTGAAGGGCTCAAGGCTGCTGCAATGCTAAAAGGTTCTACCTAAAGGCTTTCCCTCCAGGACTGCCTCCCGCCCCACCTTGGATTTCCCAGATTTGAAGGTCAGGTTGGCCACTGCAGGAAGACACTTTCCCAACAGGCTGTTGGAAGGGGCTGCTGGCATTTTGCGAACCTAAGAACACAGGCAGTTTCTTTAAAGAAAATGTGAAGTTTTATCCATAGGTGTCTTGCTTAAAGTACTTCACAAGTGGGAAAATTAAAGCACAGAGAGATGTGCTCTTTAAAAAAAAAAAAAATCACACATTTTTCTTTTACAAAGAAACTTCTTTTTACAAAAATATCTGGAAAAGAGGGAAAAATTACACATAAAGACGTGGACACAGTGGAATTAAAAAAAAAAAACCCACTAGAACACTTGTATTTGGGCTGCATGTGTTGGAAACTCTTAGTCATGCTGTTTGAAGTGGGACCTTCGATTACCCAGCCCTGCTGACGGCCGCGTCCCTTAAAGGTGTGCTTACTGTTTTTAGCCTCAAAGACCAAACACGTAAGAGATTACTCACCAAGGACGCCATCTGATTTAAGAGTTTGTTAAAAATATTGGATTTTCTCCTAGGGCAGACGCCATCTGACAGGCTCTGAAAATGCTGGGGGAGAAGCAATTAGAAGCAGATGTTGCTGTGACTGGTATTGGCATATTTGCGAGTGTCTCCCAAGCTAATAATGTTGGGAAAGGGATCTGCACAATGTTTGTTTTTACTTCCCCTTTACTAGCAATCCGACCGCCTCTCCTCTCCCTCTGGGTCACAGGGCTAGTTCCATTTTGCATCAGCCAGGCTCAGGGACAGCTCTCTTGCTTCAGTTACGTTTCCTCTGACAGGTGTTGCCTGAGTGTCTCAAGTGGAAGTAGTCGGAGGACAGGAGAAGAAAGGCACAGCCTCCTTGCCCTCCTGGCTCCCACCTGGGGTGGCTCCCACCTGGGGTGGCTCCCTTTTCACCCCTCTGAGCTGCCTGCAGTATGTGGCGCTGTCCCTGGTGCTGAACTCTCCAGCTCGCTCCTGTGTAGATGAACATGTGGGGCTGAGCAGCTTGGCTGTTTTGATTTTGTTTTAAATTACCTTCAGGGACAGTGGTGGAAACTGCAGGTGCAGGCAGGAGGGACAGAGAGCTTAGCTTACAATCAAGACCAGCTTCCCCTTTTAAATACAGCAGGAGGAACTGTTTTCTTGTAAAAGTAATATGCAATCATATGAAAAAATTGGAAAGTAGAGGGAAATAAAGAGAAGGGGTAGTCTAGCCAGCTGAAGGAAACATTAGTAACATTTGAGTATTTTTCTTCCATTGTTCTTTTTCCCTGTGTGTGTGTGTGTGTGTGTGTGTGTGTGTTCTTAAAACGGTGGTCTGATTTTTATACACAATTTTATATTTTGTTTTTTACATAGCACTGTCAGGGTTTTCCTTGTTATCACAGACTCTTGTAGAATTTTCAATACATCCCTTTGATGCAGCGTGCTTACCTGACTTGCTTCTTGCCTTCTGCCTGGTGTTCAGAGCAGAGTCTAACATAAGCAGGCACTCAATAAATATGGATCCAATGGGTCGTTTTCAAAAAACCATTTCCCTAGGTTGGATAGTAAGGATAGTTCCTTTTTTTTTCTTTTTTTTTCCTGCCATGTAAAATTAATAGATGTGAAGGTAGAGATCGGGGTGAGCAAACTACAGCCCAGGGCTAAATCCGGCTTGCTGTCTGTTTTTGTAAAGTTTTATTGGAACACAGCCATGCACTCATTTATGTATCATCTGCAGCTGCTTTCACACTACAGTGGCAGAATTGAGTAGTTGCAACAGAGACCACATGGGCTGCAAAACCAAAAATATTTACGACCTGGCTAACCCCTGCTATGGATAGGTCTGGCTGTGACATCTGTCACCCTATTGATTGTTGAGATCCATCCTGATCTGGCTGACAAGGTGGGTGCTTCTGTACTTCCCTCTATTATGGGCATCCTTGCAGAAACCTTGTGCTCACACAATATCTTTTCCAGAGAGCTGTTCTTCTGTCAAGGTGTGCGAGCAGTTTCTCTCTGTTAATGATAATCTCCGAATAGACCATCCAGGTCTACTTTATTATACATTCCACTGTAAGACATATATTTGTGCATCTAGTGTTTTCCATATTTGAGGTTTATTCCCTTAAGCTTGGGTCCCAGAACTCAAATTGCTGGATCAAAGTGAATCAGCATTTAAAAGGTAAAGGGTAGGTTTCCAAGGACAGAGCTGAGGCATGCTGTGCTGGGCTAGTGAGCCCACCACTGGAGCGTGACTGCAGGGCCAGATAGCTTCTCGCCACGGTCTGAGAGAACAGAGTCTGAAGAGTGGTTGGAATGGATAGCTTTTAAGCTACTTTCCAGTCATACAATTTTATGACCCTTAGGCTGAGCCAAATGATGAAGGTTGGGATTCTGGACTTCTTGGGGCCACAGCCCAATTCATTAGAGCAAATGGGCTGTTTAGCTTCCCTCTCTTCTTTTCTTGGCCCGTCTCTCTCTTCCTTGGGTTTGATGATTGGAGCACATCTCTCATCACTGCAAAGTTCTTGACTTCATTTCCAGCGGGTCAGCGGGCTGTGTTCCATGTGAGTCGACCGAGTGCGCGTACTCAGGCTGGCATAACACCACCAGCAAAATTCTCTGACTTCTTTCTCCCGGCAGTGTGCTTGAACATGGGTGTGGCTTGGAGTCCAGGATGCCTGTGGGCTGGCCTTCATATCACTCTAGGGTCCCTCTCTCCAGAAGCCCCTCCCAGCTTCTAGTACTACTGGCCTGAGCTACAGGAGGCCTGGGCTCTCAGCCTCCCCGTACCACCTGCTCATCTGGGCGATTGTGGGCAAACCCCTCAGACTACAGTCTCTCTCAGTCATGGTTTCCCTGTGGGTCAAGGGGCAAGACAAGGTCATCCATAAAGCAGGGCTTTGCACACTGCCCATGTGCCAGAGAGCACCTGGGGCTCTTGTTAGGATGCAGATTCTGTATCAGCAGGTCTTTGGTAAGGATGATATCTCAATCTGTTTGGGCTGCTAGAAGAAAATACTATAGACTGAGGGGCTTCAAAAACAGACATTTAATTTGCACAGTTCTGAGGCTTGGAGCCCAAGACCAGGGTACCAGCATGGTCAGGTTCTGATGAGGGCTCTCCTCCTGGCTTGCAGAGTGCTCCTTTCTTGTTGTGTCCTTATATGATGGAGAGAGAGAGAGCTCCGGTCTTTTCATTCCCTTAGAAGGACACCAGTCCTCCATCATGGGGGCTGCACCCTCACGACCTCATCTAAACCATATCATCTTCCAAAGGCCTCACCACCCAATACCATCATATTGAGGAATAGGGCTTCAGCATATAGAGTTGGGGGGACACGTTCAGTCTATTGCCGATAAGATCTGGCATTTTTAACAAGCTCCCAGGAGATGCAGAGGCAAATGGTCCATGGACCACACTTTGAGAAGCCAGGGCCCAAAGGGCCTCTGAATGTAGAGGTTACTTGCTTCTGTCTTTGAGCTCCCGTGGCTTTCATTCTTGATTGGCCTGCACTGTCTGTGACCTGTTTCACTGATAGCTCTTTATCTTCTTACTTGACTGTGAGTTCCCTCAGCCAAACAGGTGTTTATTTACCGCTGCCGGTGGGGGCCCGAGGTGAATCACGTCTGTGCCTCAGCATCTCTCAACAGGGCCTGGGATCAGGCAGGTGCTCATGGGGTAACCATGTCCCTCTGATCATGATGGAGTCCTGAAGCAGCACTCACTCACTCCCAGCTGCAGGGCAGTGGCTGCCCTGGGATCTCTCCCTAGCTGCAATTCAGCTGCTACTGACTAGTCAGGAAGTGAAGTGAAGCCAGAGGCAGAGGGCATGGGCCATCTCGCATCAGAGGAGGTGCGCTGTTATGGTCCTGACAACACAGCGGTTGGCCGGCTCTGAGCTCTTATGCTCCCTGGTGTTTGGTAGATGACAGTAGCTAGCCTCACAGCTCCCTGGCTCTGAGCACAGCATGGACTGGGGGCTAGAGAGCCACAGTGATCTAAGATGTGGTCCCAGCTCTCCAGGGCCTACCAGCACTGTGGGAAATTCTCAAGGTAGTTACTTTGTAGTTAAAGTTCACTTTAAGGTGACTGTGTAGTTTGGGCCAAATTAGCATAGGTAATAAAATTCACCCTTGTATCATGAATCAAATTTGTAAGAAAAACTACAGAGACTTAAAAATCATAATGCATATTTAGTCAATCACCCTTTTTGCAAGCTTAAATTATGGAACCTCAGCATCAGCAAATTCCCTCTCGGTTGAGCAGGATCGGGCACTGGAAATTGGAGCAGCTCTGGCAAATCTAGGACACATGGCTCCCGAGCTGGCTTCGGCCCTGGTTCCTCTTCCCTCTGTCGGCAGAGCTGGGGCTCTGCGTGGCTCCCAAGAAAGAGAGTTGCAGATGCATTTAGACCCCTGTTTGGGCCTCCAGAACACCGACCCCCACCCCCAACCCTGGGATAAATTTTCATGATAACGTGGCTCTGACAGGCCAGCTCACGTTTGCTCTAGTGTTCGTTTGGCACGAGTCGTCAATATTTCATGTTTTTCTTTTTCTTCCTCTTTTTTTAAAGCGTGTAAAGGGCCGTCTTGATTTCCAGGTCTTGTGTTAGTTTCTTGACCTCTTTCTGGAGCTTTGTCCTAGCCCCTCTGCCGGTGTGTGTCCTGACACGCAGGTGGCAGTCCGGGAGGCTGCCGGCTCTCCCTCCCGCCTGCTTGGACTCTCCCCTGGGTCTCCTACCACAGCCTCTGACTCGTGTGTGTGTGTGTGTGTGTGTGTGTGTGTGTGTGTGTGTGTGCGTGATTTCCCAGCAGAATGGAAAACACCCTGGGACAGCAGTTTCGTCTCATTTGCTGCCCTGCTCCCACACCTACCGAAGTGCTAAGCATGCAGCACGCCCTAGCGGGGCTGCTGCATCAATGACTGGCCGTCCTGCCCAAGAGCAGGTTTTAAAAAAATTTTTTTTTTTTCAACGTTTATTTATTTTTGGGACAGAGAGAGACAGAGCATGAACGGGGGAGGGGCAGAGAGAGGGAGACACAGAATTGGAAACAGGCTCCAGGCTCCGAGCCATCAGCCCAGAGCCCGACCGACGCGGGGCTCGAACTCACGGACCGCGAGATCGCGACCTGGCTGAAGTCGGACGCTTAACCGACTGCGCCACCCAGGCGCCCCCAAGAGCAGGTTTTAAACCCCCACGTCGTGAGCCCATCCGAGGAGCAGAAGCTGAGCCACCATTGGTTAATGTGGTCACCTGAGCTCCTACTCGTGGGCGTCCTTCCCCTGCGTGGGAATGCCATGAGCCGGCAGGGCAGCCGGTGGCTCTTGACCTGGGCTGGCCGGAAGCACCTTGAGGGCACCCGCGAGCACCATTGCCCGGTGTCCGGCCCTGTGAACCACAGCCCTGGGGCTACAATTTGGGCACCTGGGTGAACATCCTGAGTGGTGTTGTAGGGTTTCGTCCCAAAACGTGGACTCCCGGACGGCAGCTGCCTGAAGGACTCCATGCCATCAGTTTCCGTGGTGTTGCAGGCAGGTTGCTTATTTGCCCTAATGAGGTTTTGATTACTCTCCATTTGTCTCTTTCACCAGCTTTATATTAAAAAGACTTTTTATTTGGACGCTTTGTACTTTCTACAGTTCTGAGTTTTGCCTCAAACCTAACTCTGTGTGCAGATAAGAGTAGGAGACTAACAGAGGCCGGGTGGGGGATGGGGAAGGGCCCGGGGAGCCTGGTGCATGGCCACTGCCTTCCTTGTGTCTTTGGTTGGCTCCCGGCCGCTTTTCTGCACTCCTGTGGCCCTGCCTGTTGAGTGGGGGTGGGGCCCGGGTGCTCTGAGGCCACTGCCAGCCAGTTGGCACTGCCACCTGCCGACCTCTGTTCTGAGCTCACCTGGTGCACAGCAATCCGGGGCAGCTGCCCCGCATCCCACTGGTAGGGCACCAGGGTTCAGGAAGGTTCAGTCCAGCACACGATAGTGCATAGCCCATCGGTAGTGGGGTAAGACCTTGAGCTCGGCGGCTTGACTCCCACATCCTTGCAGGGCTTCCTGTTCACAGCGTGAATGAAACTCAAGTCTTGTGTACGAATAAAACACTCTGTCAGTGAGTGCTGTGCGCTTTGTTCGGATGCTCACTCAGCCCTGCCACACACAGCTCTGTGCCTGGCGTCAGGGCTGTGGTGGGCCCTGAAGCCTCAGGCCTGAACACACGGCCCCAGCATGTCTGTGAGCGCAGCCTTCCGCCCCCACGGTGGAGGCGAGGAAGCTGTTCTGAAGGACGTAGCTCTGGGCACAGGGGCCGGCAGCTGCTGTGGGGCCGCGGACCTGAACCCAGGGCTTGTTTTAAGTTCTCCCTCCCACCATTGCACATTTCATTTATTGATGTCATAAAAATGTTATGAGCCCCCAGGAGACCAGGCACGTGGTGTGACAAAATCCAGTTAGTCCTTGCCCTCCAGGAGCTCCGGGCCCGGGCGGAAACCCCCACTGAGGACACGCGTTTCTTGGATGTTTGACGGATCGATCTGCTTCACTGGCTGCTTCCATAGGCAGCTGGGGTTGGGGGAGGGGGGTGCGGGTTCCTGTGTGTCCCCTGGGTCCTCCAGAATCTTGCGTAGAGCTGAGGAAGTGGTTCCCAGAATTCGGAACCCCAGAGACCTGCTGCCCAGCCTGCCCCCTCTCTTTTGCTTCCCTCCACACCACTTTCTGGGGGCGGACAGTTGGATTCCTCTTTCAAACCCGACGTGTGAACTGCCAGCTGGAGCGATGTGTGACCCCAGGAGACCCGCAGTACTCCAGAGGGGGGTCCTGAGACTTCTGACTCCCCCTTGATGACTTCTGCCCTTCAAAATGCAGTAGGGTGTATCAGAAAATATAAAGCAGATTCTGAACCTGTACTGATTGTGTAAATGTAATGTTTATGTAATTCTAATTTATGAGTCCTTTATAATGCATTTTGTCACTAACATAATCTGTGTTACACAGAACACCTCTTGTCGAGGTTTTTAAAATTTGAATACTTTTATTGAAATTGGTTCACATTTTTTTACTTGAAAACATATTTTAGCTTGCCATAACTAAGAGTATCCAAAAAAATCACGGGTTTGATGCTCTAATTATTTGTCTTAATATACTTTAAATACTTATTACATTTTGGGGGCAACAGCTTTATTGAGGTCTAGTTCACACACCATACAACCCACTCACGTAAAGTATATGGTTCATTAGTTTTTAGTATATTCATGGAATTCTACAACCACCACCCATAGTCAGATTAGAAGGCTTTCATCACCTCAGAAAGAAACCCTGCGCTTTTAGAGGTCACGGCTCACCCCCCTGTGTCCTCCCTGTCCCGTACCCCCAGCCCAGCTCTTGCTTTCCGTGTGGATCTGCCCATCCCGGGAATTTTATTTTTTAAAAATTTTTTTTTTCAACGTTTATTTATTTTTGGGACAGAGAGAGACAGAGCATGAATGGGGGAGGGGCAGAGAGAGAGGGAGACACAGAATCGGAAACAGGCTCCAGGCTCTGAGCCATCAGCCCAGAGCCCGACGCGGGGCTCGAACCCACGGACCGCGAGATCACGAGATCCCGCGAGATCGCGAGATCGTGACCTGGCTGAAGTCGGACGCTTAACCGACTGCGCCACCCAGGCGCCCCCATCCCGGGAATTTTATGTAAACAGAACCACACACGGTATGGCCTTTTGTGGCCGGCTTCTCTCATTTAGCATCATGTTCTCAGGGGCCAACCACATAGTAGCACGAGTCGGAGCTTCATTCTGCCTTTATGGCTGGATACTGTTCCCATCGTATGGATCGCCGTGTTTTGTTTGTCTGTTCGCAAGATGGTGGACATTTGTGTTGTTGCTGTCTTTTGGCCACCACGAATACCGTTACAAACGTCCATTTACAAGTTTTTGTGTGAACGTCTGTTTTCGTTTCTCTCGGGTCCTACCTAGGACTGAGATGGCTGAGTCACGGGGTAGCCTTACAGGTAACCATGCCGGAAGCTGCCAGATGGTTTCCAGAATGGTGGCACCTTTATTACGTTTTCAGGTTCTGTCTTTTATTATTAGATTCTGTCTTCTACTTTCATTCCTGATATTGGTCTTTATGTTTTCTTGTGTTTCTTTTTTTCTTAGTCAGTGTGACTAAAGATTCATTGATCATTTCAACAAAACGTTGATTTTTTTTTTAAATTTATTTTGGGGGGGAGGGGCAGAGAGAGAAGGAGAGAGAGAGAGAGAGAGAGAGAGAGAGAGAGAGAGAGAATCCTAAGCAGGTTGCATGCTGTCAGTGCAAAGCCCGACATGGGGCTCGAACCCACAAACCATGAGATCGTGACCTGAGCCGAAATCAAGAGTCAGACACTTGACCAACTGAGCCACCCAGGTGCCCCAAAATAATTGATTTTCTGTGTTTTTTCTGTTTTCAGCTTAATTAGTTTCTGCTTTTATTTTTATTGTCTTTTGCTTGCTTTGGGTTTAATATGCTCTTTCTCTAATTTCCTAAGGTGGGAAGTTAGATAGATGATTGATAGGAAGTTTTTCTTAAGATAAGCAGTTTCATGCTGTACGTTTCCCTCTAAGCATGCATCCCACAAATTTTGATATGTGGTATTTAATTTTCATTCAATTCAAAATATTTTCTAATTTTATTTTTACTTCCTCTTTGACCTGTGCGATATTTACAAGTATATTGTTTAGTTTCTGAACATGTAGAGATTTTCCAGATCTGTTTCTAGTATGAATGTTTAGTTTAATTGTGTTATAGTCAGAAAACATACTTGGTATGAATTCAGTCCTTTTATTTATGTATTTTTAAACTTTTTATTTACTTTGGGAGAGGGAGAGAAAGTGGGGAAGGGGCAGAGAGAGGGAGGGGGAGAGAGGGTTCCAAGCAGGCTCCACGCTGTCAACACAGTGCCTGACGCGGGCCTCGAACCCACGAACCATGAGATCGTGACCTGAGCTGAAGTCGGACGCTTAACCTACTGAGCTGCGCAGGCGCCCCTGAATTCAGTCCTTTTAAATTTGTTAAGGTTAGTTTTATGGCCCAGGATATGGTCTGTTTTGTTCAGCGCCTGCCCAGGAAGAATGTGTATTTTGCTGTTATCAGGTGGAGTGTTCTGTAAATGACAGTTTGGTCAAGTTAGTTGATGGTGTTGTTCGACAACTCCTTCTATCCTTGCTGGGTTTTTGTCTCTTTGTTGTTTCAATTATTGACAGAGGAGCGCTGAAGTCCCTAACCGTACTGTGGATTCGTGTATTTCTCCTTTTGGTTCTATCATTTTTCTTTTTTTCTTTCTCGTGCTTTGAAGCTGCCAGCAGTGCTCCACCGGGGGCCTGCTCTCAGGTCAGAGCTGTTAGGGAAAATAAGAAAAAGAGACAGAAAATGGCAGTTTGCCTCTGTGCCCGTCACTTCATGTTCTTACCCCTCTCCCAGTATCTGCTTTTGTTTACTTTGTCTTTAGGGAGTTGCTTTTTGCATTTTGTGCGGAGTTGTAGTTGTAATCAGTGGGGAAACACACTGGAGAGTGGGCTTACTCTCCCGCGTGGCCCCCGCATAGATTTTGAGCATATTTTTCTCTTGGCCTTGAATTTCCCCTCTTTCCCTGGCTGGGTGCCACCTGTCCTGCAACCACCACAGTGCCTCCTCTCCAGGAGCTTCTCTCGAACCCCAGTGGATTGGACGGCCCCTCCCTCCCTTGCTGTCATCCCCCGACTGGGACGTGAGCCATGTGAGAGCTGGGGGACATGACGGTCTTGTCCAGCGTGGCACCCCCAGACCTCCTGTGAGTTGGCACAGGGCCAGTGGCTCAGGCAGGATTTCTTGAGTAAGTTACTGTGAATCTGTGGCTGAACTCCACAGAGATTTGATGACTCTAGGAAGGTTTTTATGACCCAAATCAATGCCCTGACAAATAGGTCGGAGGGTACAAGGTGGTGTCGATGGCCATGGTGTTTTAAGCACATGGATCTCCTCTGTGCCCTGTCGGTGGACAGACTGTCCTGGCAGCCGCAGCCACGCCTGACTACCCTGAAGGAAGACCGCCCGGTGCTTGTTAGCGGGTCTGGCGCGCAGGCTGAGAAGGGAGGTAGGATGTGCTGAGAGGAGGAGGCCGCCGTGCGTCCCGTGATTAGGCTGTGCCGAGTGGTCCACTCATTATGTTGTGTTCAGAGAGGAAATGAAGGGTGGACGTCTCGTCTCACCCTCTGTGTGCCCTTGTTACATCAAACAAATTTCCCAGTGTTTAATTATAGTCTTTGATTTAAACCTTCTCTTTAAAAGGTCTGATTATCTGTCTCACCTCATTCATTTATTCATTGAACGTTAGCTGAGTACCTGCCACGCCTAGGACTTCTTAGTTTACAGGACTCGGAGAAGCTACAGGAAACACCTCGCGCCCGGCTGTCGGCCCCGCAATCCGCCCAGGTTTCTAGACCAAGCCAGAAACCTCAGTGGCAGCTTTAGGATTGCCCTCACCCCACCACGTCGATACCCTGCGCTTTCCTCTTCTGGGGCCAACATGTGAAGTTGTGCACGTTGTTCACCGTGCACGGCCTCCTGGCTGAGGGGGCGCTGGGGCTGGAATCCAGCCTAAGCTCTGCTGGCCAA